TCCACATACACACAATAATAAGTACTATGTACCACCCACATACATACAATAGTAACTACTATGAACCACCCACATACACACAATAATAAGTACTATGGACTACCCACAGCACACCACACCCAACGTACTACCTACTTGTACGACGCACGGCAATGCCAACCCCATCACACGTACATCCAAAGCACGCACCATCTCATCAATCTCCACACATGCCACATTCACCCTCATTTATTCAAACAAAACATACCTCTGATTGGTTGATTTGAGAGAAGCCATCTGCCCCAGCACCGATGGCGGCAGCACATCCGAGCCGTAGACCCTTATCAAGGCCGCACAAACCCCACTGCCAGACCCCCCTCTCGTCTTCACCAGTAGACTGTACTTGTCTGCGTCTGCCGCATCTGCATGCGCTCGTGCACGCATCCATGTACCGAACTGTTGCTGAAGCGACATAGGTGTGGGTGTGGGTGCGGGTAGCGCGGTGCCGGTATTGCCTGTGTGTGGTGTGCATTGTCGTACGTATGGGTCAATGGATGTGGGTATTTGGTGTGTGCAGAAGTCTGTGTGTGTGTGCATACGAAGACCACAAACAATACAGGCACATGCAGCTGAATATTATAAAAACATAGATAACAAATGACACCACATCACAACCAGGATTTCACAACAACATGATAAACCACCCAACATTACAACTATGACATCACACAAGATAGTTTACAAATAGCATACTATCGCAACTTATATCTGAGACATGGACCGTTCACCAGACCACACACAAACAAACACACTCGCCCGGCGCACTGCCACACCCACACAACGGCCGTCCGCACACACACTCACCCGCACGCTCTGTCGCGTCCTTCGCGTCTGCCTTCTCTTTACGCCCTTTCCTCTGAGCACTTCCGTTCCCGCGTGTCTTCGCTGGAGTGTTATTAGACGTACCTCTGCGTGTACTGCTACTTCTGGCGAGCATACCTTTGATATCTTTCTCTATGCGTAACAGAGCCTCCTCCGCTATGCGCCGAGTGTCGCTGGCTGAGGTGAGTGTCTTGGCACAGGTCTGCAGTGTGTGCACTACGTCACTGCGTCTGTGGGGGTGGGGCGGGTGCTGAGGTCAGGTGGGCGGTAAGGCTATACAACACAACAATCAATAATAACAATGAATGATAAACAATGAATGATAAACAATGAATGACAAACAATGAATGATAAACAATGAATGATAAACAAATGTATAATAAACAATGAATGATAAACAATGAATGATAAACAATGCATGATAAACAATGAATGATAAACAATGAATGACAAACAATGAATATAAACAATGAATGACAAACAATGAATGACAAACAATGAATGGTAAACAATGAATACATACTCACGCGTGTGTATAGCTCACCCGACGCTTATGTCACAAACTGACTCCCACACTGCTGTAAAGTACCTTGGTAATATCCACTGGGGGTCTGGATGTATATCTGCCTGAGTGTTGATCTGTGTGTGAATGCAGTGGTATGCAATAACCGTTTCGTGCCGCCATTCAAAGCGCCTCTGCAAACTGACAGCTGATTGGACGATACTTTCTATTGCGGCCATCTCATTGGTCCGTGAGGTTAGTTGTTTGTGTAGCTGCAGAGAGAGCAAGTGGGTGTGTTTGTTTGAGTTCAGAGATAGTACGGCCACAGTAAATAAAACATACTTCGGCTATGTGCACTAGATGCTATATATTTACAACACCTGTTCGGTACAAATGTTATGTTACTAGATACACATGGTATGTTGTGTTATTTATACACATCAGCTGACGTGGTCGAGAAATATATCCATTTGCTACACCCATGTCGTGTGCACGTGATGAGAATAACACGGATAACGCAAACGAAATACTCTCCAATACGTACAACAATGCACACGCACTAAACTATTCAGCACAGCTGCAGCCAAAGGCAAAGGAACGGTCACATACACAACCATACACGCAAACATACACGAAAACATGAAAACAGACGCTACATACACACTCGAACATTGACACAGATGCTACACACACATTCAGACATGGGGACAGAGGCCCTTAAACTATAAAGCGCTCGAACATGGACACAGATGCTATACACACATTCCAACATGGTGATAGAGGCAACCCTAAAAACCCTAAACTACAAAACCCTACAAACCTAAAAAGCCGTAAAACTATAAAACACTCGAACATGCACACAGATGCTACCCACGCACAGCTTGAGTCACCATGTAATACGTACCTTGGTGGAAGAGACCACCTCGTGGACCAATCGCACAGCCTCGGCGCGTTCAGTCGTTTTGAAGGTGCCGTTGGCGAGTGCCCTACTTGTGACTGTGGCCATGTGGGCGTGAGCATCAGTGGCAGCACTTGTGTCGTCATCCTGGTTGCCATGGTTACCATGGTTACCAAAGGCTTTCGTGACGGTGGCGGCGACCACACGGGTGGTCGAGTCAATGACACTATCAAGTACACCCGCCAACCGCTGTTATGGGCAAAGCCAGGAGAATGAACGTGCAGAATAAAACCCAAAAAGCAAACCCCCCCCCAAAAGTAATAAAAAAACCCTAAAAACCTCGACGACAAGCGTGAAGTAGCACACATTATGAGAGAGCATTTCTATCTACAAGTTACGTTTGTGTGTTTATGCACTGCAGTACATACACGTGTGTGTGTGTGTGTGTGTTTGCTGTTGTTGCATGCACGTGCTATTTCCTTAGAGTTTCAGGGTTTAGGGTGCTAGAGTTTTAGGTTTTCCCTACCTGATGGAAGAAGTGTGCTGCGAACTGGTGCAGCCCACCCACACGCACAGCTGAGTGCAGTGACTCTACAGCTGACTGGACGTCGTCTAAGCTTTGCGCTTCAATTCTGTACATAACATATTATATGGAAGCGTCAATACCTGTGTATGTGTATGTACAGTTGAATAGCTGTGTATATGTCACCTCTGTACATAACATAATCATAATATATGCAAGTGTCAATATCTGTGTATGTATTGTGGAGATAAATGTGGCAATTTAAATAGTTGTGCTCATGGTGTATGTCGCTGTGGATTAGATATAGAGTGCACATTGATAACACAATACAGGTATGTCCATAGAAGAGAATATAATAAATACATGTGCAAAAGTATATAACATAGTAATATCATGTTTGTTTTATATAACCGACGTTTGTTGACAGGTATGGCTGCAACAAAAAAATATGTGTGGAGTTTTTCTCTTTGTTCGTTGGCAGATGTAAACTACTCTGAGTTCGTATCCACCTACATACACTTCCACACACGAAAAACACAAATGTATTTATACATATATTCATGCATACCCCCTCTCCCTCACACACACCCATCTACTGAATGCATTGTATATACCCAATACACCAATACAAAGAAGCACTCACATACACTCGTACACACACACACACTCCTTCATACCTACCCACACACACACTCTCCCGATGATCCTTACCCATTGCCACTGAAGTCTCTCAGCACACGGCCAAACGCATAGACGTCCGCAGCCGCCCCACACACAGCCACCACACGCAGCAGCCACGAGACATCACGCGAACTATAGCCTGCGCCATCCTCAGCCCCATCACGCACGTGTGCACTGTGTTGATTCTCCCCCACTCGCGTGGTGTTGTGTGTGGGTGGTTGTGTGTGTGTGGGTGTGTGTGTAGAGGTGTGGGTGGTGGTGTGGGCAGGTGGCTGCTGCGTGAGAAGCTGTTGTGTGGCGTGGGGCTGTGCTGCTGAGTTGACATCGCACTCCATTGCGAGACTGTCGTACTGCTGTTCTACGCTTTTGAAACTGTGTGCGGGATGAGATGAGAATTGGGTTATGTTCTGTTTAAAAGTTGGGACGAGATGAGGATTGGATTATGTTCTGTTTATAAAATTGTGAAGAGATGAGAATTGTGTCCATGTTTCTGTTTATAAAATTGGGGTGGGGTAAAATTGGGTTATGTATGGGGTCAGATGAGAATCGGGTTGTGTTTTGGGGTAAGATGATAATTGGTTTATGATTTGGGGTGAGAAGCGAACTGATTTACGTTTCTGTTCATATATTCCAGTCTCAGAAGGTAAGTACATATCCCATGCCCAGTTCACTAAGCGAGATGAAAACCCTTGGGATATACACAGACAGATTTAATAGGGAATGCATATGCGCACTAGTATATGTATATACATACTCGCGCATGCAACGACGCGTGTACACAGACTCAGACATTCTGAATCACAGGTACACCTAAAGAGACTCATACAAAGACATGGACACTCAAATCATCATCTGTCTAATTCACTTAACGATACAGTTTGCAGACGTTCTTACAGCAAAGCAACTACATAGTAACAACATAGCAACACCATAGCAATATAAGAGGTGGCTATTAACATATACACATCCATTCACAGCCCTTTCTGTGCATATGATAAAGAGTGTAATGACATATCGACATATGCACATTCTTTCACGGGGTTTTAGGGTTTTAGGGTTTCAAATCACGTACTTCGCATCCACATTGCGCAGTGGGGCTGCCCATGGCCTCAGCAGCAGCGCACGATATCTCCGTCTCAGTCCAGACACAGCAGATGCGACATCGAAGGCATCTCGCCCGTGTGTGTTTGCATTCACTGAGTGGAATTAGACGGAATAGATGGTGGAGGTATTATGGGTAAGAACATTAACCAACGGAAAAGTAGACACAATAAATGGTGCAGGTAATATGGGTAAGAGTACCAGACAATAAAAAAGTAGACACAAAAAACGGTGTAGGTATTATGGGCAAGAGTACTAGACAATGGAAAATTAGACACAATAAATGGTGTAGGTAATACAGATAAGAGTACTTGACAATAAAAAGTAGATACAATTAATGGTGTAGGTATTATGGGTAAGAACATTAGACAATGGAAAAGTAGACACAATAAATGGTGTAGGTTTTATGGGTAAAAACATTAGACAATGGAAAAGTAGACAATAAATGGTGTAGGTCTTTTGGGTAAGAGCATTAGGCGGCATGGCAGCCTCAGTATTTAAATGGTGGCGAAACAAACGTGGTCCGTACGACAACTTCACTTTAGGAGAAACCTTCTTAACGTCTTGACGTATGCGTATAGTGTTCACAGTAGTGTAATTGGTACCTGTAATACATACTACAACTCACTGTTGCTCACATGAGTAGTGTAATTGGTACCTGTAATACATACTACAACTCTCCGTTGTACACATGAGTAGTGTAATTGGAAACTGTAATACATACTGCAACTCACCGTTGCTCACATCCGTCAGCGCCTGAGTGCCGTCTGCAGCAGTCGCAAACAGTCTCAGCCCCAGACCCCGCGCACACTCCTTCGCATCCACGGCCAGCGTCGCCATGGCAACCATATCTCTGGCAAAATCAGAACCCATACTGTCGCGTGTCGAGGTTGCACCATTGCCGCCGACAGTGCCATCGCTCAGTCGCTTTACGCTCCCGTTGGCGTTTGAGAGTAACTCCTCACCAATTTCCTCTCTCTGGTCTCGGCCGGCGGTTGCTGTGTTGCCGCCACCGGTGGTTGCCATGGCAACGTCGCCCCACACGAAATGCTCGATCAGTTGTGGCACGTAAGTCGTGTCAAAGTGCGTGGCTAGTGCGAGCACTGCATGCGATGAGTCACAGAAGAGCGATGACACGGCCGTCAACGCCTGACACGTTTCTGACACCCACGACATCTCGGTATCCTCGGCGATGCTCTGTAGGTAGATGCGCACACGAGTACCGATGAATAGGCAGACGCGACATGTCTGAATATACCTACTTGTAGTGCGATATAATTAGTTGTGGGTATACCTACTTATTGTGCTATCTAGTTAGTAGTGAGTTTACCTACTTGTAGTGCGATAAAATAAGTAGTGAGTTTACCTACTTGTAGTGCGATATAATTAGTAGCGGGTATATCTACTTGTAGTGTTATCGAGCTAGTAGTCAGTTTACCTACTTGTAGTGGGATATAAGTAGTAGTGGGTATATCTACTTGTAGTGCGATATAATTAGTAGTGGGTGTACCTACTTGTAGTGCGATATAATTAGTAGTGAGTAGACCTACTTGTAGTGTTATCGAGCTAGTAGTCAGTTTACCTACTTGTAGTGTGAAATAAGTAGTAGTGGGTATATCTACTTGTAGTGCGATATAATTAGTAGTGAGTTTACCTACTTGTAGTACGGTAGCCGCCACCACCAACACCAACACAGCTCAGTACCCCCCATCCGCCCATAACCACACCTGTGCCGTGGCATCGTTGTCGCTGTCGCTTTCCTGTACCGTCTGTTGGTCCTGTGTCGTGGCGCGTGTGCGTTGGAGGCGCCTCTGCACTCCACTGACTAACGTGTGCACAGTGTCAGTTAACTTTCGTACAGTGCAGCACCCCACGCGCATCCCTCTCAGACTGTCCGTTGCCGATTTGCCCTGGGTTGCAGCCGTGTCTGCCTTCTCCCGTGGTTGTGCATGTGTGTGTGTGCGTATCTGTGCATGCGCGTGTGTGTGTGTGTATGTGTGCGTGTGTGTTTGTGGGGGAGAGAGTGTGTCTGGTGATGTTAGTGCTACGCCAACTGCCGTGAGAACGGCCGCCATGGCGCTGGACATTCCCGTCTTCGAATCGTCCTGTGCAATACAAGCATAGGGTCGGGTCAGTTGTCATGACAACGAAGGCTCATGGTGAGATAAGTATACGCGTGTCGATGCAGTGTGTAGGTACGTAAAGATAACGTCTCTGCGCGTGAGTGATAGGGAATTAGTGTATTAGAAGTACAGCTATCCAAATCCGATATAGACGTGTATACTAATACTTGAACAAACACTCTTCCTTCAATGCTTTTACATCTATATCTTCCATCCACCTACAGTTCTACATCGACCTAGGGTTTATGAAAACCCGAAACCCTTAAAAGCATAGTACCATGTGCTCACATATCGTCCTGATGTACCTGAGTGGTGGCGTATGAGACCAGTTGGCGCTCGTTGTATTGACAAGCCGACACCATCGCCTGATCGGTTTGTTCACAGTCACTGGTCCGAATGGCGTGTATGGCCTTAGCAGAATCTGCAGCATATATATATATATATATATATAATAAATAATTAACATACATATTTACTATACATACATAACACACATACACACACACACACACACACACACATATATATATATATATATATATATATATATATATAGTACGAGTAGAGAGACGTAGTAGGTACGTAAGAAGAGGAAACGAAACTACGTACGACG